TGCAACACAAAACGCTTGAAGATCAAGTATTCAACCAATTATGTGCTTGAACAAGTTATTTGTGTGTACATGTATTTAGCATGCAAAAAAACCCCTATCTTTGTAGTATTTGTCGTGTTTGGTGAACTATTTATATGAATAAATGTGTGAACATGAGTGGAAAAGTCGAACAGAATACTTTTAGTAGTTACTTTTGTATGTACATTTACATGGCCAGCATATATTTTAACAACTTCGTCAAATCCAGAGCAACCTAAAGCCGAGTGTGTCATGTACATTGCATTAATGAATGGACATACATAAAATATTCAAAATAACAAGCAAAGCCTCAGAAAATGCGAGTTGGTATTATAAGTCTTCATGACTCGGTCGCCAATTTACTGGCTTGGACCCACTACACGAAGACATAAGACGGCGCCGCGCAATACGCTTCTGGCAAACGGGACTGTCGTATAGTTGTCGGGGACACAGTGTAAACGTAACATATCCAAAATTAGACGTAAAACTTGTCGGTTTGTGGGGACTTGTAACCTATGGATTCTTTATCGTAACCCTAAATCATCAATAATGTAGGGTAAAGTACGTTCCTAAGATACGAATGACAATAAGGAACATAATTATTTTTCTAATAAATTCGCATCTTTCCATCTTATATCGTTTCATATTTATCTAATAATGAGTAAATAAAAAGTGTGCCTTATAAACAAGACTTAGTTCAGACTAAGTTCTGGTGGCTGACTATGGCATATTAAACGTTGCAATATTCAATAAATTAAATTTTTGTTCTATATCCAATATTTATATTGTATAACTCTAATTTATATTCTTTACCATAATATGTATTCATACGATCCTGCTGAATATTTGTTCTTCATAAAAAATATTTGTGGCGATAATTTTCGATATCTCAAATGGTATGTTCTTAAAAATTTTAAAATTTTTAAAAATATTTATTTTTTTAAAATCTACTAAAAATTTTTATCCAGGGGATAAAACCCATTTAAACCCATACAAGCCCCGCCTTTTAAAGTAAGCACAAATGTCTAAAATAAAGCGTTTTCATTTTGTTTTAAAACGAAAGTGGATGTTTTATGTAAATGTAAATATGTTTAACCCTTTCCTTATAAATGGATATTTTAAAATGTAAAAATGGAAAAAGATTTTAAGTCTTTAGACAAAACAATCGTAAAGTAGGGATTTTGAACGAGTTTTAAGTGTAATACTAAATTTTTTTAAACTTCTTTTTGAAAAATAGAGGAAAATTAAATGAGTGATTTAAATATTCAATTTTTATTGAACATTTGAAAACATTAAAATAAGAAAAAGTAAATTTTTTGTTTAAAATGAGTAATTTTTCAATGACGCGCCCATAGTGTAACGCTAACATTAGCGCGCTTTAACGCTATGTTTCTATATAGCGCAAATGACGTCACGTCAAAGTGTTATTACACTAATACACTAGTGTAATATTGTTTTTATTAAATGGCTTTATTACACTCCTGCGCTGCGGTTTATGTGATAAAACAATAACTAGTATGCGAGCCTCTATTGACGCGCTAACATTAGCGCGCTTTAACGCTATGTTTAACGCAAATGACGTCGCGTCAAAGTGTTATTTAAGAAATAATATATCCCAAACAGTGATTTTATCGCTCAATAACATCACTGTTTGGAGTTCGGATGCGAGGAATTATATCACGAGGGCGTAGCCCGAGTGATATAAAGATGCGCATCCGAACGACAAACAGTGATGTTATCAAGCGATAAAATCACCGATTTGGATATATTATTTCGATTCTAACACGACATCAACAAATAAATGTTGCCGTACTTGATAGATAAGCAAAATTGCGCCTGATTTGTTTCCGTACTTATTTTCCGTGCGTCGGATTTTTAGTGGTTACGTCACGTGTATAATGATTACGTCACATGTCTAAATATAGAACGTCAAACTGTGCATCTGTTGCATAATAACACACACTTTCTGTTCTTCTTTGTTCAATAGGGAAAAATGCGGGTCGTGTTAGAATACACTATAGTGTACTATCCTTTTTATTAAATAGAAGATGTAGCTTTAATACTAAATTAATTGCACGAGTTGAATAAATTCATATTATGCGAGCCCGGGCTTTGGATTGCCCGCATTTAGACTACACGTGAAAATCAAATAAAAAACAATTTAAAATTATTTAATTTTACCCGTGAAATATGTTGCTATATCAGTCAAATATATTTCATATTTTTTAAAAATAAATATGAAATATAAATATGAATATAGTGGGCGGAGTCAAAACTCATATTTATTTTACGGGACTTCTTTCTCCATTTTGTTTGTAAAATCTGAAAATTCAAAACAAATTTTTGTCGAATTGTGTTTTAAAAACTATCTAAAATGATAGAAAATTGTCTAACTAAGAAAATAAATCCTTACACCAATATCTTTAATTTAAGAAATAATATATCCCAAACTGTGATTTTATTGTTCAATAACATCACTGTTTGGAGTTCGGATGCGAGGAATTATATCACGAGGGCGTAGCCCGGGTGATATAATGATGCGCATCCGAACGACAAACTGTGATGTTATCAAGCAATAAAATCACCGATTTGGATATATTATTTCGATTCTAACACGACATCAACAAATAAATGCTGATTTGTTTCCGTACTTATTGTCCGCGCGTCATATTTTTAAGTGGTTACGTCACGTGTATAATGATTACGTCACATATCTAAATATAGAACGTCAAATAGTGATTTTATAGAATAATAATACACACTTTCGGTTCTTCTATGTTCAATAGGGAAAATGCGGGTCGTCTTAGAATTAGTCATTAACGCTGTACAGACGTTTAAAGAGTTGTTTTACGTGAGGTCACAATGTAGCGCTAAATATCGCGTGCAAAAACAAGACAATAATTATATTACTGCGCGCTGTACAATTGCAGTTGCGTAGCAAGCAAGGGGGGTTCGTAACCATTTTTTCTTTGATATTGAAATTAAATAAAAATGTTATTTTTTCGTTTTTCGTGAAATTTGGTGTATATTTTCACTCAACATGATAAAATGCCACATATTTTCACTCGCCGTCCCGGCTCGTGAAAATATGTGCCATTTTATTCATGTTTCGTGAAAATATATTCCATATTCCACTCAAACGAAAAAAATATCCTCTTAATATTTAGAATTCTATGCCTATCAATGAAATTTTCAGTGTCAGTTCTAGTTAGGCGCCGCCATTTACAATGTAACTCAATGATAAAAGGCGGTGTATTCCGATAACGGAACAAATCTCAACTTTTCTGATTAATAATAATCGTCGTGTATTCCGAGGGTACATATAATACAGAATGACACCTTTAAAACGGAAAAATGAAACGATTTTTTTAACCGACTTCTCCGTTCATAGGCTTTGCCTAATTTCATATTACAAGTCATACATGTTATCTAAAAGCGCTACAAGCCTCCGGGGCCTTCGGCCTCGCTCGGACTTTCGAATATTTTTTATTTTCTACTTTTGCAATCTGTTTTTTTTTTTTTTTTCAATTTTGTTATTTTAGCCTGATGCTGATTTTTTTTAAAAAATAAGTCAGTGTTCATTTAATTAACTTTTTTGTTTACATTTGTTACAATGTCACGAATGTGTTTCCTATTCTAATTAAAATCTGGGACCAAAAAATATATTATTGTTCCAGGTAAACTAACGCAGAGATATAGATAAATCTACATCGCTGATAAACGTTATTGCTATGACGAAACTGGTAATATCTTTTTCGAGATTAATATACTATTTGATGCACTCTGAACCATATACAAGATTTCAGATTATTCGCTCACTCCATTTTTCCAGTATAAGTGCAAAATGACCCAAAAATGAAAAGTGGTTAAACGCTTTTAACCCAAATCGGACAAGAATAACACAAAATCGCGGATTTATATATTACATTGTAATTAAGATCCTTGACAAAATAGAATTTATATCTAAATCAAATCTGAGTATATATATATTTGTTATATACCTATAAATGAAATATTGATGAAATAAAACGCTTATTTTCATTTTTCTTACTTTCACTGTAAAAAAGTATTTAAGTGAAACATATTTTCCGAGTTTACACTGGTGTCTTGCCGGACTTTTTTCTTTAGTACACAAAATTTAAGGAATAGTCTTCTAAATTGTAATTTAAAAATAATTCAAATTTTTTCTATAAATACATGATTTACTTTCATCTTGTGGCATGAAAATTATCACATTTCACTCGTGGCTACCGCCACCCATGAAATATTTATTATCATATCACATACATGTATTTACAGAAAAAAAACTTGAATATCCTCTATAATCTCTTTTAACGTATTTTGCATATTTGTCCGTTTTAAATGTCCATGCAGTTTATCTATGTAAGAATGTATTTTTTATGTGTTTAGGACCACAGTGAAGCTCCTTTAATTAAATACCTTAACAAACTTATGTATTATAAACCGTTTTTAACTTTAAGGTCCCAGCTTCTTTCAATATTTCATTTTGATACCAATTCAAATTGTCTGGCATGACGAATAAAAACTGTTTCGCGCATGTCACGTGATAGTGTGCCGACCACGTTAACTTTTTTGTCTAGGCGGGGAACAATAGCAAATTAAATCATGTGACTGAAAAGAGATCGGGAAATGTTTTGCTGGTGTATTTAACGGATTTGTTTAGTAAAGTTTTTTGGTGAGAATCAATCAGTGGTTAAACATACAAGATTGTCCCCGAGCGCTCAAGATTCATGGTCGAGTGATTTTCCATGCACTTTACAGTTAGCTACATTCGCGTGAAGTTTGTGAGAGGGATGTGACGGAAACAAAATTATGGGAGGTTTGGAATTGTTTCTTTTATTTTTGGACGTCAAAGAACTTAGTATCAATCAAAAATGTAAGTTATTTTATATATAGCCGAAACGTAATATTATTACGCATGGAAATCGGAAAGCATTACTGTTTTTTTTTTAAGGAAAAAAATGTAAATATTTCACAGAAAATCCGGGAAATGTTATTGTATCACATAAAATTTGTAAATTATCAAATATTTTTCGTAGGTACAATTTGTTTGAGACAAAGTTAAATTTTCCATGAATAAGGACTTTAAATATGAATTAGCATTAATCATAAGGATTATACATGTTAAACTTTTTATTTTTCATGTGACGTTTCGATCATAGTTAACAGTATTTTTGACCATTATGATAATTGGCTTATGATATAAAACAAAATATAGATATGAATAATTGATAGTTGGCATCTAACAAAGTATTGACACGGATGATTGACGTGTGATATGTAAAAATGATGGCCATGTTGATGACAATGTTGGTTTGGTGAGGACGTCCATTGCTGTTACAATGATGATGAAATGACGCTGTTCTTCTACTTCTACTTCTATGATGAACTCGTCTGTAAATCCGCTGTGCAGACATCAGCGACGAGTGGTGATGTGAAATGTGCTCCATAAAACGTGGGCTAAAAACCTGTCCCCCATGTGCGACACCAGTGAGCATCAAGTGAGCATCAGGTAAATCTAGTTATTTATAGAAACTAGCTTTTTAGCTCGACTATTCGATAAGAATAAGTAGAGCTATTGCAGTCACCCGAGCGTCGGCGTCGGCGTAACCACTTATGTTAAAGTTTTTGTAATAGTTCAAATTTTTTCAAAGTCCATAGACATATGGCTTTGAAACTCTGCACACTTGTTCACCATCATAACCCCAACCTGTAGACAGGAGGAGGTAACTCTATCAAGCATTTTGACAGAATTATGCCCCTTTTTCGACTTAGAATTTACGTTAAAGTTTTTGTAATAGTTCAAATATTTTCAAAGTCCATTGACATATGGCTTTGAAACTTTGCACACTTGTTCACCATCATAACCCCAACCTGTAGACAGGAGGAGGTAACTCTATCAAGCATTTTGACAGAATTATGCCCCTTTTTCGACTTAGAATTTACGTTAAAGTTTTTGTAATAGTTCAAATATTTTCAAAGTCCATTGACATATGGCTTTGAAACTTTGCACACTTGTTCACCATCATGACCCCAACCTGTAGACAAGAGGAGGAAACTCTATCAAGCATTTTGACAGAATTATGCCCCTTTTTCGACTTAGAATTTACGTTAAAGTTTTTGTAATAGTTCAAATATTTTCCAAGTCCATTAACATATGGCTTTGAAACTTTGCACACTTGTTCACCATCATGACCCCAACCTGTAGACAAGAGGAGGAAACTCTATCAAGCATTTTGACAGAATTATGCCCCTTTTTCGACTTAGAATTTACGTTAAAGTTTTTGTAATAGTTCAAATATTTTCCAAGTCCATTAACATATGGCTTTGAAACTTTGCACACTTGTTCAACATCATGACCCCAACCTGTAAATAGGAGGAGGTAACTCTATCAAGCATTTTGACAGAATTATGCCCCTTTTTCGACTTAGAATTTACGTTAAAGTTTTTGTAATAGTTCAAATATTTTCAAAGTCCATTGACATATGGCTTTGTAACTTTGCACACTTGTTCACCATCATGACCCCAACCTGTAAACAGGAGGAGGTAACTGTATCAAGCATTTTATTTACTATCAAGCACTAAGAATAGTCGAGCGTTGCTGTCCTACCGACAGCTCTTGTTTTAGAAACTAGTTATTTTTAGACAAATGAGTTTTAACTTTTTTTCTTAAGTTTTATCAGTTTCAGAAGATGAAATTTCAAAAGGAACCAATGAACTTGCAAGTAATCATACTGTATCGGGCCATGCTTGTGGAACAAGGACAGCACACATTATGCAACGTTAAAAACAGCTTACTTATTAAATTCAATTTACATTTGGAAAATTTGACATTATAAGAAATTTGATATACATATATACATGTAAATGGTTTAATGTCAGTAACTGAAATTGCGTAGAATTACAAAATTTTATTTTAGAAATTAAGATTTTTTTGTCAAAATTGAAAACTATGTTTTATGTTTATGTGTATTGACGATATTTTGTGTGTATTGTTTATATCGATTTTGGTTGTTTTGGTTTCTTTCTTAAATTTTTGGAGTTGGTGTGTGATTGGGGTTATTCGATTTGGGTCCGGTGTTTTAGTTTGTCTCTTTGTGAGGGTTGTTTATGTGTGTTATGGTAGTTTTTCTTTGTCTTTTATGGAGTTGTTAATGTCATTTGTGTGTTATGGTTGTTTTTCTTTGACAAAAATTCAGGCCTTATTTCTGAATAGTTTGGGAATTGGTGGTCGATAAGACAGATGATTCTTTGCTGATACATTGTGATCGATTTGAAAATTCTGGATTTCGGATTTTGTATCATGTACTTGTCGAATTATTATTATTCATCATTTCAAATAGTTATATCAATTTCATTAGAAATCGGAGACACATTTATAGTTACATAGAATTTCTAGCTGTACAATTCCCAATTTTGTATAATAATATTGATGTTTAATATGAGTTATGTAAAATTTTTGATAATTATATTTATAAATAGGTGGAGAATGCGACAGTATATTAAAGATAACATTGATTCTTTTAGATTTAGAACGTGACATTTCTAATAATGATATTTGGTTGTTGAATGCGACACTTTTAACAATTATATATACTGATTATTTTTGATGCAGAATGCGACATTTTAGACTAGTATAATATAATTGTTCTTTGGTTTTTTGTTTGTTTTCAGATGACGTAAGAAAACATCACTGGATAACTTTTGAAAGACAAAACTAGATAAAATTATATATTTCTAAATATTACCACTATATAATTCAGACTATTGTTCGATTGATGGTAAATAAAAATGTGTATTGATCATTTAGCAAACGTAAAGCAGGAAATGGCGGGAAGAATCCTAGCAGACGACAGTTGTCGCGCAGATGCAATCATGCACCATATCAGACTCAGGCCCAGCTCTATACTGGACTCGCCTGCAGCAGCTTAGGGTATGATAAAGGAAATCATAACTTTGTAACGTATGTCTTGTTTACTTTTTGAAAAATAAACTTTCGTGTCAATGTAATAATTATGTTGACATATCATTATTGTCTAATGTTTCATAATGAACCATTTTTAGCCAAACTGTTTGAAAAACGAGTAAGGGCTATTTTAGTCACTTTGTCGTCTGTTCTCGTAAAACACTTCGTTTTGCATATGTCAGAATTTATTATGATTGTGTTACGGGGAACATAATCTAAACACCTTTAAATTTGAACTAGATTTTGATTTATCTAATTACATGTATGCCACTTAGTCAACTTGATTTAAAGCAGTCATGTTTAAAATAATAATTTAAGTTTACAATATATTCTTATCAAATGAGCATAATAATGCTGAGTTATGGGTCATTAAGAACTTTTCAGTAATTTAAACAAATAACTTACAATTATTTTTTAAAATGCTAAAAAATGTAACATTTGTTCGACCATGTTACCAATCGTGTATCCACAGGTAGCAGACGACAATAGATTTTAAAGTGGAAATTTGTGACTTCCGGTGTGTCTGCTACTCGATGTTGTGATCTCAGCTACTTCCCCTGACGTTCAGTCTATGAAATGAGGGTCGAGGTAAGATATTTTGAAGAAATACAAAATTTAGCTAAACACAGAACAATACATTTTACAGATAAGGGTTTGTGAGTCGCTGATTACACCTTTAACTGTGTAAAAAACTGTGTTTAAATGGACTTGTCCATCTTCAAATCTGGACAAAACCATTACTCATTTTAAGGGAAAATTTCAAAATATGTGCTGACTGCAGATCATGAGCAGATGTCAAGGATATGCCGACTGATTTTGGTCTGCACTGGTCGCACGGGTACATGTATATTATGTTGGCGCTAGAAGGCTGAGAGTTAATCAACATATTGTGCGACACAAAATAATCAGAAAGTACTGATTACAGTTCATTAATAAAAACAACTTTTAATTTGGTACATATATATGTTTGTATTTTGAAAGCATGTTAATTTCAGAGGGAACATGACTTTATGTAATTATTGTTACTCTACTAGAAAAAAATGAACTGAACATAATATAAAGAACTATTCTTTCCGAGATCACTCGCTTCCTTAAAGTATTACAATCTAAATACAAAAAAATATACATTCAATAACTAAATTAACGAATAGGTAAAAGATATCGGCACTACATTAGTGATTGTGCCGAAGGAAGGGAGATAATAATGAATATATTACAAATAAGGGAGATAAAAATATCTCTTATTAAAATTATGCTTTAAAATATCATAATTATTTCTAATGCATAATGTGCATTTTGTAATGAGTTGGTGACTTTGATTGTGGCACTCCGATAACATCTTAATCTTTTCAATCTATAAATAGATAATTTTTTCAACCTATATTTCAGATTAAGAAAGAACGAAAAACGGCAAACTGATCTTGGCATGTTAAACCTTATCACAGAACCGGAAACTACTGATTATGATGAGGTAATAACTTATATTTTATGAATATATGTATAGATTTGTTTCTTAGCCTGCTGAAAGCGAAAGTCATTAGTCTTTGCCTTCAGAATAGAGCCCGGCCAGCCTGCACATTTGTGAAGTTTGACTAGCCTCTTTACTGTTTGCTAACTTCTAATTTTCATTTTCATGTGATAATAAGTTATAATAATTTGTAATGGACTGTTCCTTAAATAAAATGTTGAAAAGTCCATTTAATAATTTCCGCAGGTTAAAGCAGCATGCCTCCAGATTCATGCCCATTCTTCATGTAAATTTTGAAAATGTATCGAAAAAAGAAAAACATAGTGTAGTGAACAAGGAAAGTAATTTACACATTACAAACAGCATTTACAGTCTATTTAGATTACCAAAAAAGGCCAAAATATACACTAGTAGCCATTACTGCGTTAGTCACGCAGTAAAATATGGTAATGAGAACTGCGACTTCGGTCGTTAAAGACATTTTGCACATAAATAATTACTTGAATCTTAAATCTTTCTACTTCTCTTAAAATATGAGTACATTTTTCTTAAGTTTGTTTTTCTTGAAATATTGTTTGTTCATCTGGAGGCGTGCAGCTTTAAGGCTTGTTTATAGCTCTTGAATGAGACGTGTATTCATTTGGTTTGTAACAGTACAGCATTGTGAAAATTGTTTCATGTTCGGGTTTGATAAAAAAAATCCGTTGTTGTTGTTATTCAGTCATGAATTGCTGTGGCTAAGTTAATACATATACACCTACACTTGTATCGAACATTTGTCTTCATTTTTCAAATTGATAACACTTTTGTAAGTTTTAATTATAAAAAAGGGCGTCCGTTACCGAATGGTTACTTCAAATCATTTTCACCCCCCCCCCCCCCATTTCTTTCACTATTATGGGCAGCGATTTTGAATTCATGAGTAGTTTCATGTCGAAGATGATCCACAGATGTGATCCACAGCTAGCTTAATTGGCAGAGAAAATTTGTGGTTCTACTCGAGTGCCCAACCGTGTCTAAAATAATTTATAGAGGGCTATTTTGGACCTTCTTCCGCCAGTAAAGCTGAAAAATTAGTATTGTACTGTCGAGACAGTAACCATTCACCCACTAAATTAGTGTAATGGATCTACCCTGCATTGAATTTGGAACAGCCCATTTGAAGTTTATGGGATTTCAATAACAAAATACAAATTTGAGCAGACGATAGTATATAGCCTGGGCACGGAGTGCACGGACCAATAGGTAAAGGGTTAAACCCAACCAGAATAATTGAACCATTGCAGAAAAGAATATACCAGAAATAATAAGAGAATCGTTTAAAGACATCAAGTGAATAAAAGCTTTATGACCACTATTTGAGTAAGACGTTATTATTCATTTGTTGTATTCCTGAATTCTATTATGTGCATTTTTGAATAAGAGTAAGGATAACATTGTTTTATTTTTATTTGGTGGTTCAACCCGTGCGTCTGCTGTCTTTTGCAAGTGAAACGTAAAGTGTTACAAGTGATATGAATGTTTTATACATTATACAAGTTAAATGTTGATGCTGCACATCAAAGACGCCGCCAAATTATGTGAACAGTCAATCAGCATTGAAAATCGTTCTCTATTACAGTTGAATATCCGAAGCACAAATCAATGTTTTCTCCATGTTCTTGGTATGTGCTCGTTGTTTGATAAATAAGTTGCATATTTTTGTGAAAAAGTAGAACCTAATGCATAAATTCACAAGGTAATGTCTGAAATTCTGAAATGTTTGTCTGTTGCGAAAGCGTCTGGTTAAAGCAAAATAAATCTTTGTTCATTTTTTCTGAAGAGTTATTTCTTTAACGGTTTGTTTGCTGGTATTAAGGTGTGCAGCTTTAAAGGCCCATTATGACCCAAAAAAAAAGTTTTTATTTTTATATCTGAAAAGCTTTTTATTTTTGGTGTCCTATTATAGTTTCAAAACGGATATTCATTGGTCATTTATCTGAATAATCTTTTGCTTTTTGAAAACAGTTTTAGTGATGTAGTATTTTTTGTGGAAGTTAAAATACTACTGTGTTTACATTTTGCGACCTTTAAAACAAATATTTTCACATTCAGCCATACTTTATTTTGCTAATAAGCATCTAACATGCTTTAAAGCATTATTTGAACGTTATAATACTCATGTTTGCACTGCCTAATGTATGAAAAAAATATTAATTTCTGAGGCAAAATGTGCCTTTAAGGAAAAACAGTTGATTCTAAGTTGAATATAATTTTTACAATGCTGTGATCTTTACATTTCAGAAGATAGAACATGGTAAATTGAGCAGGTGAAGGAACAGAGAAACCACCACCCTCTTTACAGTCAGCAAAATAACTATGCTTCCGGTTTGGAACTACTGCATGCCGTTACAACATATGTGACAAAGAGATTTTAATCCACCTGATACGATTTGGTATCTTTCTGAAAATGTTATGTTCAACTTCTGAATGCTGTTTTTATATTACCATTAATGCCGTGATGTGAACAGTGAACATTTTATTTGCTTTTTACATTGTACATCTTCTATTTACCAACATACTGTACCGTCAATGTATTGTAATGACAAAAATGAGTATAATTGCAATAATGAATAATGCACTTTTTTGCAATGTATATTTCAAGTGGTGTAATAAGTAAAATTTGATCAGGAATATACATATATTAAGACTTAATATAAGATAATGTACCGTTAACATAATGGCAATAGTAAAATTGCAGAAATGAATGATGCGCATTTTTTACAATGTTTATTTCAAGAAGTGTAATAAGTAACATTAAATAGTTAATAAAGACGTACTAGGCCGTACAATGAGAAATAATGACAATTAAAAACGTCATGATAAATCATCTATTTTTTTAAGATTTATATAATAATATCACCACTACTACCAAAACAACATTAATGAAACATAATGAAAACTCCAACGATGAAATATTTCATCATTCAAAAACATGCAATGATGAAAAAATGAAATAAAATATTAAAATAATTGTATTAACGACCAGAAGAACAATAATGAAATAAAAGAATGAAATAACAATATGAATGAAATAAAATAAAATAAATAAAAATGAAATGAAATAAACAAAAATGAAATAAAATGAAAACAAAATAATGAATGAAATACGATAAAATGAAAACAATAAAATAATAAGAAAAAAAAAATGAAAATAAAAACAAATTGAAATAAGGTAACAAGAAATGAAATGAAAATTTTGTCACAAGTGACCATTTAGTTAACATGCCTGACCTTAAATTGACCAGCCTTTGCCACCAGTATGCAGCCAGGCCAACATGCACGTCCGTTCAGATCAACCAGGCTATAAACCGTTGGCTGACCAATTTCAAATTTGATTTTATTCAAGTTATATTCCCTAAATTAATAATGAATGTATTTAGAAACGGAAGCTGGACAAGTCCGCTTCCGATAATATTATCAACTATTTACATGATATAATGTGTTCCTTTATATTTTGAAGTATCATTTGTTTTATTTTATGCTTTTAAATGCTTTAAATAAGGAGTCACAATTAAAGGGTTACTTTATCATTTGAACCGTGTCACGACAAAACCAACATAATGGGTTTGCGACCAGCATGGATCCAGACCAGCCTGCGCATCCGCGCAGTCTGATCAGGATCCATGCTGTTCGCTTACAGACCCTATAACAAGTAAAGAAACTGATAGCGAACAGTCGTAAACCCATTATGTTGATTTTATCGTGACGCGGCTCATTTTCATTTCCTAGCATATCCTCGTGCGTTTCATCGCCGGATAGCCACTGATACTCACTGCCTAAACATTAACATTTATCTTGATTACAACCGTGGGTATTCGACGATGCATGCGTTTATGCTTTTTTTTGTTTTTTTTTATTGTTGTTGTTGTTTTCAATTTTCATATGATCTGACAAAAAGGTAAAAACGGGGATGGGGGCTAGCATCATTTATTTATTTATTGTTTTGCAAATAACATCAAGCCAAAAAAGGAAGGCTATTTGTTTTGAAATACAGATACGGACGCAAAAGGAGACTCTCTCATTAAAAAAGTAATAAAATGAATAAAAAGCATTTTCGTCATATAAGCACTGCCATCAGCTCACTTGTTAATTTTTTAACGATAATCTCACACATCTCGGTACTAAACATTAACTTGGGAGAAATGACTTCAAATGCTACTGTAAAACTTCCAACAAATATCAATCAAAAGTAATAACATTTGGCAAAAGGCATAATGTTTAATTACCAATAGGGAGAGTAGTCGCCCTTTGGTCTTTTCAGGGGAGGTAACACCGTTTTGCTTTTACAAATTATTCTGCAATATTAAAATTTACCATCAAAAACAATTTAAAGGAACACACTATAGTCAAATTGGGATACTTCCTTTTTTACAAGTATACAGAACTTGAAATATTTCAACGAATAGATAGATTTAATGATTAATGCTTTGATTAGAATCTTTTCACTTAGTACATATAAAAATACTATAGACCTAGTATCTTTACTTATAGAATCACGATTTTTAAAAACCATTAAAATTTTGTATACCAGTTTATACATATCTGGAGTATTTTTAAGAACAACATTTGACATTTTAAATATATCTTGTATCTTGGAAACTTTTTTGCGTTTGTAAATATTTCTTTAAACAGATTTTAAAAATCGAGTTCAGTTCTGGACACTATTAAAAATATCTCAACATCCTTAGAATTCTAAATAATTCTAACGATGTCCTTTCATAGTTTGAAACATTAATATATTTGGTAATATTTTCGGAAGAGAAGACCAAAAGATACTTATAGTTGTTAGGGATGTTGAAGTGATTTTTCCAGCATACCTACAAAGTTAAACAGTATATAAATTTCAGAATAGTAGAAAAAGGTAAACTAGTATTTAATGAAGACCACATAAACACTGAAAAGATTAACTTTTGTGTCTGGTAATATCACTAGCACAAATTTATATTTAGTATTGAGTCCAGAGACAATACTGAAGTATCTACATAATGTTGAAGTTATGAGAATAATTGAAATATCTTAACTTAACTTGTGTCTCGA